AAAAGTGGACCGCAAAGAGGGACGCCTCTTATGCGAATGAACTGATAAACAACATTAAGGGGGAGAGGGGAGGAAACACAAGTGTGTTTTGAGAGACTTACTTCAATACCGACATCATGGGGCAATTTTTCGAGCCGGGGAGAAGCGGTAGAAACTGTAAACAAATTGGAAATAATGGCAGCCCAGCAAAGAAAGCTGAAAACGAAACCACCGGGCAGCCAGAGCCCAAAACCGGAAGAGGGAGCAGACGTCATTAAAATGCTAGCGGACATGCTTAAGCCAGTGATGGAGCAACTCGATGGTATTAACCAGCAATTGACCGTGATGAATAAGATCTTTGCATCTCAGCAGCTCCAGCTGAAAGAAACGGAGAAGAAAGTGGAGCAGGCAGCTGAGAAAATTAAAGAGACACCACAAGTAAGAAATTGAAGAAAAGAATGGGAGAAGTTGAAACAAAGCAGAACTTCCAAGAAAGCCGTTTGCTACAACTACAGATGGAAAAAGCTAACATGATTCTCAGGTTCCAGGGAGTTCCTGAAGCAGAGAAGGAGGACCTGAGGAGGTTGCTTAGCGAGATCATCGCTCCAGCAACAGGCTTAACAGCGGATGAGCTGGTAAAAGAAATGGAGATGGCCTATAGGGCAAACTCCAATTATATTAAAAAAAATATATCATGCCTGGAGAAATAGTGGTCAGATTCTCAAGAAGACAGACCAGAGATGCTATCTTAAAAGCGACATCAGCAGCTCCACTGAAAATGGGAAATATAACCATCAAAACCTTAAAAGATATTCCATTTGAAATCCGACAAAAGAGGAAAAATTATAAGGACTTAATTTCTTTCCTTCAAACCAATGGAATTTCGTATAGGTGGGCGATTCCGGAGGGTGTAATCTTTAAGATCAACAATAAAAGAGAGTAGACTCCACTTTCAAAGCTAAAGAATTTTTGTGGCGACAGTTGGGAACGGAGGAAGAGTCCAAGAAGGAGGAAATGAAATCTAGTGACTCTGCCACGTCAGGGAGGAGGACTCTGCTGCAGAAATGGGAGCAGAAAGCCGAAGTAAAGGCAGAAGGACTCGGATAATAGCCTTTTGAAGCGAAGCAAAAGAAGATGATCAGAAAGTTCTCTCATAACAACTAACATAGGTAAAGGTAAAGGTTCCCTTGCTCGAAAGCCAGTCAAATCCGACTCTAGGGTTGCGGTGCTCATCTCCGTTTCAAAGCCGAAGAGCCAGCGCTGTCCGAAGATGTTTCCGTGGTCATGTGGCTAAACGCCAAGGCGCATGGAACGCTGTTACCTTCCCACCGAAGTGGTACCTATTTATCTACTTACAGTTTCTTGCTTTCGAACTGCTAGGTTGGCAGGAGCTGGAACTAGAGACGGGAGCTCATGCGGCAACTCGGGTCTCGAACTGCTGAACTACCGACCTTCCACAGCCTGCAGTTCAGCGTCTTAACCACTTGAGCCACCGCCAGGGGTCATTTCGTAAAAAAAGAGCTAGGGGGACTCATTAGCATAACTCATTAGCATATGCCACACCCCCTGACATCACCGGAAGTGTGTCCTCCCCACAGCCGGCGGCGACCTCCAGCGGGCACCAGCAGGGAGCTCCA